AAAAAAAAAAAAAAAAAAAGAATGATTGTCTGCCAGGGTCAAAAAGAAAGCATGGGGTTACCTGAGTCAAAGACTAGCAGATTTTCAGAGAGAGTAAGTAGTCCTTCACTGGATAATTTAGATGGAGAAGGACTTGATCAAATGTTGTTTTAAGATCTCTTTTAGTATTCCCTACACTTTAGTAAGTTTTAAGAATAAAAATTAGCCTTAAGTGTTACTGCTTTATTAGAATTTGCAGTTAGGGAAGTAACTGTTACTGCTACAAGTAAAATGAGTTCAGATCAATATCTTAGCCTCATTAGTGTGTATGCACCTTTGGGGGAGCACCATCCGTGTTCCTTTCATATATCTGGATAGAAAAGAGATCCAATTTGTTTAAGCAAGATTAATAAAATAATTCCTTTATCTGTTTGTTTTTACCCAGCCCTCGCAAATGGAACTTTACGTATTCTTGAACCCATTATGTCTGTGGAAATTATAGCCCCAAGTCAGTATCAAGGTGTAGTGATTGCAGGAATTAATCGGCGCCACGGGGTAATCACGGGGCAAGATGGAATTGAAGACTATTTCACACTGTATGCAGATGTAAGTACTGTTCATAACTGGCGATCTTACTTTTATTAACCACAGAAGGAAATCAGAGTTAGCTTTTGTTTTTGGAGATTGTGGAGCAAATTGTCACATTTCCCTGGCTATTTGTGGCTATATATGTTTGATAGTTTCTGTAATTTTACCTTAGAGCAACTCTTAAGTGCAAAAGCTAAAAATGAGATTCATTTCATGTAGGCCTTTTGCAAAGTTGTCATTCTTTTTTTAGATGCATGAGTATCTTTCTCATTATAGCTTTATTTGCACAGCTGTATTATAATGTTATCTCTAATTTACTGGGTTAATAGTTCTCTTGCCTTTGTTTTACTTGGCTTAAATCATGGGAAAAAGTATTCATTGTACTGGATAAAGCCTCCTAGAAGGCAACTGCTGGCACCATATCACTGGGTGTCCCCAGGAAAATTGTGGCAACATTGTCACAGAAGAAAAGCTTATGAATTCTTGAACTGAGGCCAGAGAGTGGAGTGGAAATGAGGAGGGAGGTTGATTAGTGGTGTCTCATCACTGAAAGTCTGTGAAACTGAAAGATTTGGCATCTAGTTGTAGCTGTCAAAATTATTTTCAAGTGAGGGATACCAGTGGGATAAAAAAATAAAGTATGTTTCTCTTTGGCTTTTAAATCTGTAGTCAATAGTAGTTAGTAGAAACCTAAATCTAAAGGCATTAAATGGTTAAGACCTCTCTGTATTTTTCTCAGATAAATTTCAGTAAGCAATGCTACATTATCTACTGTATTTGTTTTCAGGTTCCTCTAAATGATATGTTTGGTTATTCCACTGAACTCAGGTCTTGCACAGAGGTAAGCAAGTGTTTGTACTTTACTATGGGACTTTTCAGAAGACCACTCCATGAAATGATCATATGGTAAAATCCTATCTTTGCATGGCTTTACTTGATTATTGTGTGGGTGGGAGGACTTTAAATTTTTTTTTTTTTTAACTCCTAGGGGAAAGGAGAGTATACAATGGAGTACTGCAGATACCAGCCGTGTTTACTATCTACTCAAGAAGATCTAATTAATAAATATTTGGAAGCTACAGGTCAACTTCCAGTAAAAAAAGGAAAAGCCAAGAACTAACTTTCCTCCCTTTGTGTTGACTATCAAACTGCAACTGAATCTGTAAGGTTTAGATAGTTGGATGAATTCCAGTGGAATGGATTTAGGCTGCTGCAACAAGGAACTATAGAAGCCCTTCCTGCTATATTCAGGAACTTCTATTTCATTCACAGATAATTCTGTATATAATATCTCAATCCTGCTTATTGGTTTTATATTATAAAAACAATATAAAATACAGTTATTTCTGAGATATTTAATATTTATTGAAAGGAGGAAGAGACTAATTTTGGTTATATTTCTAAACTGAGAATGTGTGTAAACTTATAAATTTTTTATCATAGGAATTTTTTGCATACAGAAAAGCTGAAACAATAGTACAAAGAATGTTCATATACCTTCCATCTAGATTCAACAAATAACAATTTTTTTAAAATTATTTATCCTATCATAGTAGTTTTCCTACATTTGCTTTACCTATTTGTCTCTTGTCCATCTATCTCTGCCTCATACCTCTATGTACTGTTTTAAATACTGTTTTGCTGAACACTTGAAAGTAAATTGCATACATCATGACACTTCTTGGAGTCAAGTTTTAATGGACAGGCTTTTTGTATAAGAGTGGGTTCTGTGTGATCTTAATATACAACATTTTTCAGATTATTCACTGTGATATTAAGGGATTTGCTCTAAATTTCTGTTTTATAGATGGCCGATGATTTAAATTGATGGCTTCTGCAGTTCCCTTGTAATCTGCCTCTGCTTCTAGGTCTGTCAGGTTATTTCCTTGCCGCCCTATGTGAAGTGAGCAACAGCCCCTTGCATATGATGTGCTTGTCTGTATTCATCTCAATGCTTCTGCAGCCCTGAATAAATAATAAAATATATTTACAGAGTTGTTGCCAAGTCAATTTCATTTACTTAGTAGATGTTCGTTGAAGTTGTAATATGTCTGCAGTATTGTATTCATTGAGATTGTGAAAGATCAAATGTTAAGGTTTTATTTCCAGAATAAATTGGGCAGTTCTACCAACTTGTTTGGAATTGCCTCATCCATGGTTTATCTGATGACACAGACATACCCTAGACTTTCCACTTACTGGATAATAGAAATAAAATAACTGACTTTAAATACCTTTGGTTTTCTTGATTTATAGATTTGGCTTTATATTTTATGGTTTCTAGAAAAAAAAAAATCACTCATTTTCAAGGCATTGCCTTAAATACTTTAAATGTGTTACCTAATTTATTCCTCACAATGCTATGGAAGTAAATACTCCTTATTATTGCAATCAAGGCAGTGAAGGCACAGAGAAGATAAGTAACTTGTCTAAGACCACAGGACCAGATAGTGTTTTGTTCTGTTGTACAGAGGGCCACTATGAGTTGGAACCAACTCCATGGCACCTGACAACAATGAGAGCAACACAGCTTGTTAAGTTTTCACATTGAAAATTTAGTTAGGATTATTCATCAAACCAAGTACATTTAAATCCACCATGAGTATGTCTGTTGCTCTATTAACATCAATCCTGACAAATGCTGTTGCTTTGGCATTTCATCAACATCTTGTCCATCCTCAGTGACTTTTGAATGTTATTCAGGTAAAGAAATGCCCTCATAGCATGTAGCACAGTTCCTCTGGCTGTTTTGAACAGTCAGAAATTAATTTAGACATTCTAGTTATAAAGTTATCTCACTGCCATCAAGTTATTCCTGACTCATGGTGACCTCCATTGGGTTTCCGAGGCTGTAAATCTTTACAGAAGTAGATCGCCCCATCTTCCTTCCATGGAATGGCTGGTAGGTTTGAACTGCTGATCTTCCAGTTAGCAATCAAGTGCTTATCCACTATACCACCAGAGTTCCTTTATAAAGTTATAGTGTTAGAAAAGATCCTAGATATCCAATCCAACACCTACATTTCATAGGTGGAAACACAGGCCTCACTGATGGTAACAGCTAGAATAGGGCCACAGAGGGGACAGCTCCAGGGCCAGGACCACATCACTCGCTAACCCGTTTTTCAGTTACAGTTGGTAAATACCACAGACCAACCAATGTCTGTGGCAAGGAAAAATGCATAAAAAATAAATGAGGATCTTTATACTGCGGTGTTGAAGGCTAATTGTTGGCTTATTTAAAAATGTGTTGGATAATGGTAGCAGCACTAGGCAAGATTGTATTGATTCCCCGCCCTGGCTGCACTTGAAAAAGAAATACCAAGTCTGCCTCTGGATATTCTGATTCTGTCCAGTAAGGGAGGGGCCCCAGCACTGAGACATTTTAAAGCCGTTCAAGTCATTCTAATATGCAGGCAAGGTGAAAGACCACTGCAGGACTGCCTGAACTTAGTTAGGCCCAAGATACAAAATGGAAGAGTTGTGAAATCCGAATGTGATACATTAATATTCTTTTGAGTAATGTTAATTTTGGGTTCTTGATAACTTTACCTTTTTAAAAAAATAAAGTTAGCTTAAAAAAAAATAAAGTCCTTCCTTTCCTAAAACTTGATCAATTCTGAACTTCATGATTTTTTCACATGTAAATGTTTTTAAAATCTGAATGAGTCTTAAAATTGATGCCTAAAGAGAAACTTAGCAGCCACCAGATAGGACATGTGAGAGTGAATCCCTTTGTGGAAGACAACTGTTTGCATTGCTAAAAGTATAAATGGTTGAATTAGAGCTTTTATTGCTGGTTAAAATATCTCCAAGTATATAACACTGGGATAGATCACTGAAAAATAGTTGTGTTCTGTGATTTTTGATAAACATTTATTTATCCATTCATGTAAGTGCCAAGCAACCTTCTAGGTGGTCCCAGCACTTTTCAGAAGCTAGGAAAGGTCACAGAATAGGTCATAGAATCTTCTAAGTTGAAAGAAATTGGTATAATAAACTCATGTGTCATTAACTGCCAAATATAGCAGCTTTCAATTGACTTCCAAAGAACTTATTTAATATTTAATGTCTAATAATCCAGCATAGTGCCTAAGGCACTGGACTGCTAACCAGAGGGCTGGCAGTTCAAAGCCACCAGCAACTCCTCGGAAGGAAGATGGGGCAACCTACTTCCGTAGTGATACTGCCTCGGAAACCCAAGGAGGGGTCACCATGAGTCAGGTCTGACTCGACAGCACATAACAACAACAACAACAATCCATAATTCAGGTAATGAGAAATGAAACTATGAGTAGAATCAAATGGAATGCAGACAGAATCATAGTATTACTCTCCATGTCTTTAAATGGTGAACATTGTATAGAAATCAAAAATGAATGTGATACTGTGTGAATGGCTCTGAGTGATTTAGAATAACTTTGGACTTAATGAAAAGAGGGCTTAAGGAACTTAGAGCTTTTCTTTCATGTTAAGGCAGATGAGGAATTTTTTTCAGTTGTTAGGTAGTGAAATCAAGTCAGGGATTTTAGAGTTTGTGCTGGAAAAGGCATCCTAACAGTGATAGTATTAGGAAACTTGGTTTAACTTTTGTGGTTTTTCTAAATTTATAAAATAGGCAGTTGTGTTTGTATATTGTCTGTATGTGTATAATTCCCTTTCATAATCTTGTTAAACTGGAGTAAGTGTGTTAAAGGATTCCTTTAGAGTTCTTTCCTGATTTTGTGAGCCTAATCTCATTACTGTTAAAAGGCTTTTAGGAGGATTGAGGAAGCTGACACAGGAAAGCTGAAACACCAGGTAAAGGCCCCTTTCTATCCCTTAAAAGTTGTACTAAAAGGTTAAGTGACAATCATAGGACTTGGAATATGCCACTGTAATGCTCTTGGCATTTTTACTGAAGATTATTTAGGGAAGTCAGAGGAGTTTATCATTTGATTTTGGCATGATTTAATCTTTGTAGAGTGTTCCTTTGCTATTCCAGTAAAAGCATGTTCTCTGCATGGTCACCTAGGTGAGATGGCTGAGTTTCCTTTGGATGATTATTTCCAGTGCTTCCGAATATTTCTGGTTTTTGGTCTGTTAGCTGCGGCAGACTTGGCAGCTCATTAAATCAAGTGGGCGATGGGCAAAGAAATGCAAAGGGTTGGAGTGTTAAATAGGAAAACAATTAAACTAGATCTGCTAAAAAGTAACATTATTATCAGTCTTGTCTTTTGTCAGTTCATTTCTTTAAAATTTTTATGGTAAAAACTTACATAATTTTCTGTCAATGTAGACTTAAAAGTAAAATTTTAGTATACTTCAGAGCTAGTGCTTTCCAAACAGTTATTGGCTAAGGAACCTGGCAAAAAGTTTTGGACACTCGTTTAAGTGTTCCAATAAATGATACTAATTTTGAGAGGAAAATGATGGCAACATTTCCTGGATCAATTTTTCTTGCCTTGGGAAAGTACTCCATATTGTATGTGCTTTTAGAAATTGCTTAGGCCAACACTAGGTCCAGTTAGAAATGAAAATATTTTACTTACATCCAGTTATATTTTTGTTCCACTTAATACGTTTGCAGACACTCAACATTATTTGATGAGACATTTTTTATAATTTTTATTTATAAAATTTAAGATTTCAATTAATTCCAATTTAGCACAAATTGTGTCTATATATACAAATCTCTACAAACACACTTTATTTAGAAATGTAAACATTTATTTAAAAGTAGATACCAAGTTAAAAAGGAATGCTTGCTTGAAATCATAAAAAAGTAAAATTGTTTTTAAACAATATTTTACCCTACAATTTGCTTTCATTGAAAAAGCTTTATTTACATCTAGGTAGAAGCAATTTAATAAAATAAAACAGGTGGCTACAATATGATCAAAATAATAAGAAATGGAGATTTAGAGATGAGACCAGTATATATATATATTTTTTAAACTATTGATCCAGTTGTAACATTTATTAATTGACTTAGTTTTACATTTTAGGGCTGAAATTCTAAGGAACTTGCTGGGTGACCCTACAACTCTGAGCAGAGTTTAATATGCACATGATCCCAGAGTTAAAAACCTAACCAATTAAAAACAACAAAATCAACATATTTTGAGTAGTTACTTACAATCATAGGCTTTCCCAAATTACTCATATGCCTTATACTTTGGCATATGAGTTAGGCTGCTTAGTACAGCCACTTAGTTTAGGATTCTGTATAAACCGATCTTTTTTCCCTTGAGGTCCTACTAAGGTCTGTCAATGCTGCAGCAGATCCTTCTTCAGCCCCAGAGGCCTCTTCTGGTGTCTGTAGCTCTTGACAGTGGTGTTTCACTTTAAGTGTTTTGCCAGGGTACCAGACCAAGTGAATGTGACAGGGAATGATTTCCTAGGAAATAAGATTTATAAAATCTTACAATCTGCAGGAACTTCTGATAAAAACAGTTCTGTGTACAATTTTGTATTTTACCTGTGTTGAGAATTCATGAAGTAGAACAGTGTAGTCAAAATCAATTTCGTCATCATCAGTTTTCTAGAGGAAGAAAAAAGGAGTTAGTGTAATAAATAGGATGGGTTTATATTGGTTCGGGATGTGGAAGGCTTATGCTATATAAATTTTTGCTTTGGATGGGTACCTTGAGTCTCCTCTCTTAGATTCCAGCCTCCTTTCCTTTGGCAGCATCCAAAGTCATGGATTCTTCATTTTGTTTTGTCACTGAGGTATATGGAAATCTAGCTGGATGTCTTTGTATCACTTTTGGAACCCAGAGAATCTTTGAACAACCTTAGGAACCTACATACTGTGTATACACCTCAGGCTAATATATTAGCCCTGACATGCCAGGCAGTAAGACAAGGTGAAGAGCAACTAGCGTTTCATGGTCCAAGTTCTGTGCAGGCACTTTACACACAATCTAGTGTAATTCTCTTGGCTCTTTTACAAGTAGGTATCGTGGGGTTGGCTTTTCAGGGGAGGCAACTTGAGGTTACACTAGTGACAAATGGGGATTCAGACCCAGATCTACTGTTTCTATAGTGTCTTCTCTTTATTCTTGGGTAGATTTCCTCCTACCTGGCAGTGAACCTGTGAATGTTCAGAGTAAACGTCTGAGGTACAAGCTGCAAAGGTAGAGAACTCATGAGAAAAAAATTTGATCTCTTTCATTTAAAAACAACTCAATTAAAAAAAACAAAAACCTAAATCTGTTGTCGTTGAGTCATTTCTGACTCATGGTGATCCCATGTGTTTCAGAGTAGAACTGCACTCCATAGGGTTTTCAGTGGCTGTGATCTTATGGAATTAGATCACCAGGTCTTTTGTCTCCAGCACCACTGCGTAGATTTGACCTGCCAACCTGCCGGTTAGCAGCCAAGCACAAACCATTTGTGCCATGCGGGGGCCTATCTCTTTCATAAGGGATCACTGTCTGGAGGTTCCAGTTACCATTCTAGCATTGTTGAGGGAGTGTTTTTATCCTTGTTTGATCCTCATTTGGTGACTCTTAACCCTGGAAGGAAATGGTTATCCTGACATGTTCCAGGCCAGCTGGAACAATGCTGGCTGCTGTGTTGTTATATGATCTGTGTCACAGACTTTTGTGCTCCCTACACTATTTCTCAAGGCCTGTTTTATGCCATATATTTTTTAAATTAAAAAACTTTTTTTATGTATAAGCTTAAAAGTGTTTTTCTCAGGACAATGCTCTCTTATTTGGCTTTGAAAATAGCATTCCAGAAGGAAACATAGCAGGCTACAGATTTTAAGAGGCAGGACTTGAAACATGATGGACACCATGTGACCAACTCTCCTGCTAAGAACACAGAGTGTTTTAATACAAAAAATTTGTATCAGTAAAGACCTTTCTCAATAAAGTTATTGAAATGCACCCTTACATTTTTGTAAGATATTTTTATAGATTCTTCAAGGAAACACCTTCAAAGCAAACCAAAAAGCTTATTAAAGACCTGCAGAAGGGGACAGTGCACATCCCAGCTTGGCAAAGTACTCCAGCATGGGACTGCCTTCACCAAGTCAAGCTCTGTCAAGAAGTCAACCAACAGTTAATATTACTCAGAAATAACCTCTTTGGCTTTTATGCAAATCATCATAAATGCCAAATCCTTATGGTCCGAATTGATGATGATGTATTGTTATACGTGGTTTCTGTAGTATCTTTGGCGAATGAGGGACTTGTTAGGGTAAAGACAAGCTGATCCATAGTGATGTGCTGCAGGTCACATCATCTGGGGTGCTGACAAGACCTGGTACTGACTGGTAAGAAAGAAGTCCACAAGTTGACATTCTGCTGTAGCAGTGCTGTTTTACTTTTCTCAATTCATATTAAGGGCTCATATGTGGAGGAAAAGGCCTTGTCCATTTTTTTTTTTCTCCCCAAGCCAGCAAACAAGTCCCCTGCCTTTGGCATTTCTCTCTCTCTCTCACTGCCGTCAAGTCGGATCCAACTCATAGTGACCCCTCCTTGGGTTTCACTGCAAAAGTAGATTGCCCAGTGTTCTTTCTGAGGAGTAGCTGGTGGGATTGAACCGCCAGTCTTCTGGTTAGCAGTCAGATGCCTTAGGCACTATGCCACCAGAGCTCGTGCCTTTGATATAGTACTCTTGGTATCGGGAAGCATACCTGTTCTTCACTCCTAAAGAAATAATTGTGCCAGTGAGTTGGGTCTTATTTTATGTTTGTGCATTCTTATTTAATCTTAGCTTACTCTCCTCCCAAGCCTTGTTCATTTGGGGATATGTGCTGATAAATCTCCATTTCCTTCCACAGTTGCATTAAGGGATAAATTTTACCCTGAGTGTAAGGGTAGTAACTCCCACCCAGAAAGATTTTGAAAAAATTGGAAGCCCACACTTTTCTGAAGTGCCTTGGGTAGCAGAGCATCTCCAGTCACTTCCTGCCTCTGTGCTGTGTTGCCTTTACCCACCTATCATCATGCTTCTAGTCTCCTACAACAGTACTTAGGCCTTCTCATCTGGCTCACTTTTAAAAAATTATTCAGTGTTGCTCATGTTGGTTCTTTTGCTAAAGGACCATGGGAATCCACAGTGCCATGGAATAGCAGAGTTTCAAAACTGATGGGGATATGTGCATGCTTTTTTGTTTGTTTTTTAAGAAAGAGAACTCTACTGTGGTACAGTGCCTAAGGCATTTGATTGCTAACCAGAAAGTTGGAAGTTCAAACCCACCAGCCACTCCATGGAAGGAAGATGGGGCAATCTACTTCTGTAAAGATTTACTGCCTTGGAGACCCAATGGGGGTCACTATGAGTCAGGATCAACTTGATGGCACTGAGTTTTTTTTTTAAGCTGAAATGCAGCTTGACATCAAATTTCTTACTTGGCCCAGTGATTTAGATTTATGTTAGTTTCAAACCAAAACCAACTGCCATCAAGTAGATTCCTACTCATAGCAACCCTATAGGAAAGAGTGGAACTGTCCCATAGGAATTCCAATGCTATACATCTTTACGGAAGCAGACGGCCTCATCTTTCCCCCATGGAGCTGATGGTGGGTTTAAACTGCTAATTTTTTTGGTCAGCAGCTTTGGTTAATCTTTCGTTAACCACTGCACCACCAGAGATCCTTTATGTTAGTTTGGGGAACTTCAAATAAGTTTATTGTTGCTGCTGTTGTCAGATGATGATGAGTCAGTTCCAACTCACAGTGACCCTGTGTACAACAGAACAAAACACTACCCGGTCCTGGGCCATCCTCACGAGTGTTGCCATGTTTGAGCCCACCGTTGCAGCCACTCCTTACTCCATCTTGTTGAGGGGCTTCCTCTTTCTCGCTGACCCTCTACCAAGCATGATGTCCTCCTCCAGGGACTGGTCCCTCCCTGATAACATGTCCAAAGTATGTAAGATGAAGTCCAGCATCCTCACTTCTAAGGAGCATTCTGGCTGTACCTCTTCCAAGACAGATTTGTTTGTTCTTCTGGTAGTCTGTGGTATATCCAATATGCATTGTCAATACCATAACTCCAATGTATTGATTCTTCTTCAGTCTCCCTTATTCCTTTACAGCTTTTGCATGCATATAATGTGATTGAAAATACCATGGCTTGGTTCAGCTCACCTTAGTCCTCTAAGTAAAACCTTTGCTTTATAACACTTTAAACTTTTTAACACTTTAAAGAGGTCTTTCGCAGCAGATTTGCCCGATGCAATACATTGTTTGATTTCTTGACTGAGGCTTCTGTGGGCACTGATTGTGGATCCATGTGAAATGAAATACTTGACAACTTAAGTATTTTCTCTGTTTATCATAAGTTTAAAATAAATTTATTAGTTTTCATCTAATTGCTGTTGTTGTTATGTGCCGTCGAGTTGGACCCGACTCATAGTGACCCCTCCTTGGGTTTCCGAGGCAGTATCACTATGGAAGTAGATTGCCCCATCTTCCTTCTGAGGAGTGGCTGGTGGGTTTGAACCGCCAGCCTTCTGGTAAGCAGTCAAGTGCCTTAGCCACTATGCTACCAGAGCTCCTAAACAAGCTCACTGCCAGTCCAGTTGATTAGACTTATAGCTACCCTTCCTTCGGTTTCCAAGGCAGTATCTCTATGAAAGTAGATTGCCCAATCTTCTTTCTGAGGAGTGGCTGGTGGGTTTGAACTGCTAGCCTTCTGGTTAGCAGTCAAATGCCTTGGACACTGTGCCACTTTCTAATAGGCCCTAAGAAATGAAGTAATTTGGTTTGGGTGACTCAGCAAGTCAGTGGCAGATTCAATGATTATTTATCTAAAACCTAAATTCCATAGAGTATAAAAAATCTAAAACTCTTAGTGACTATTCTTCTTCCTATGCATTTCTATTTTCTTAACTCTACAAACACAAGTGTGTCCCCACTTTCTCCCTGGCAGGAATATGGAGATAGTGGTTGAGGGATATTAATGGACAGATGATAGACTCATCAAAGACTGGCTAGAACAAAGAGAAATGACATTGCTGATTCCTGGCAGTCAGTTTGGTAATGTGTCATATACAACTGCAAAAGGAACAGAAATGATGACATTAAAACAGTCCTAATTTTTTTCTCTGTCATCTCAGTGAGTTTCTGTCTTCCTACTGAGTTGCCCTCTCATTCATTTCAATTGGTTTTAAATTATCTGGACACCATTTTCTGTACTGTAAACACATTTTTTCTCTTATGATTTTGAACTTCTCAGTTAAAGTAAAAACCCTTTTGTTGAGGATATGGTTTTCTTGGTAGATGGGATAGGGATGCAGCCTTCTTCATTCTCAGCGGATGACTGCCTCTTCTTTCACCAGGAAGACAGAATCAGTTATACTAGAACTTCCACAAGCTCCCACCGAAACATCTACCTTCTTACAGGAATCTCTGCCACTGCTGTCTCCCTTCAGGTGAGCTCTCAGTTTTACTACATGTGCCTGAGGTGAACTCCTGATTGATCCTTTCCTCCCTTGTCTGTGCAAAGATATTCTTACTCCAACAATTCTTCCTTCTCTTTCTTGTAATTCCTGCCTTGCCCATCTCAACAGGATTTTTTCATCAACATATACATCTCCCAACTTAAAAATACAACAGAACACATAGCAGTCAACCACCCACCCACCCTCCAACAACCGTCCCCCTTTATAGCGAAATTCCCTGAAAGAGCTGGTGTGTCCATTTTTCTCCCATCCTCTCCTGAACCTACTCCAGTCAGGTTTTTGCCCCACTGGGTTTCTGTGGCTTCTAAAAGCTAAATTACAATGGTCGATTCTCAGTCCTCATATTATTAGACTTTCCAGGAGCATTTGATACAATCAGTTCTCATCCTTGAAACACTTTTTTTCCCCGTATCTCCAACCTCTAAAGTGAGATGTTATCCTTAAATAACATCTCTCCTCTTTTGACTTACAGATTTAAGTACCATCTATGCAGTGATGACCTCCTCCTTGACCATTAGACTCTTATGTCTAGATAACTCTGCAAATTCTCTTTTTGGTTATAGAATGTAGCAGATGCCAAGTCTGGCTGATTCACCACAAACCTGTTCTTTCCCAAGTAATAAATAAAAATTCTGTCTTTCCAGTTATTTAGGCCAAAATCCTAAGATTCATCCTTGACTCTTTTCATTCTCTAATATCCATGTCCAACCCATACAAAAATTCTGTTGGTTTACCTTCAATATACAATTCCAGAATCAAACACCACTCCCACCTCCACTGCCACCACCTTGGTCCAAGCCACCATCATGTCTCACCTAGATTATTGTAATAGTTTACTGGTCTCCCTGATCCTACCTTTCATTGTCTCCCTATGGTCTGTTCCCCACATAACAGCCAGAATGATCCTGTCATAAGTCAGATCATGTTACTACTCTGCTAAAAACCTTCTGAGGGTCTCCATCTTTGTGTAAAACACAAGGTTCTTAGAATGAATGGCCTACAAGGCCTTACATGAACTGGCCCCCCTTCACTTGCCATCTATTAGACTATGCCTCCTGGCACATTCCCCTTTGCTCACTCTGTTCCAGTCACACTAGTCTCCTTGTAATTTCACCAGCCACCAGCCACATTCCTGCTCAGGAGTTGTGCTCTCGCAGTCCTCCTTGCCTAAAATTCTCTTCCTCTGCAGGAGCATGGCTCACTCTTGACTCCTCTTAGGCCTCTGCTGTAAGGTCACCTCTGCTCAAACAGAGGGGCCTTACTTGGTGACTATATAAATAATAACTCTATCTATACCCTGCATTCCCTTTTCCCTACTTAGCACTTAGTACCATTTTATACTTGTTTACTTATTTATTGAATTAATTTCAATAAGGGCAGCAACACTGTGATTTCATTCACTGCTATATCCTCAGTCCCTAAAACAATACGTGGTCCATAACAGGCACTCAAATATTTGTTGAATGAATGAAATGCAATTAAATGTCTCCCCATGAAATTAGGAATTCACATTAATGCAGTCTAAGAACACAGCATGGGTTGTACTCTTATGGCACAAGAAAATGTTCAATGTTTCTTACCCAAAGCTTCACCCTACTGAGTTGCATCATATAGTACTGCAAAAACTGGGTTGTCTTTTCCCACATCACATAAGAGCTTCCAAGAAAAGCCAAATCCCAGATGGGTCTCAGGGACGGATCAATATGTCCATGGCTATCTGAGAGGGAGGAAAAAACACATTTTTATTAAGGCATATTTGAGACAAAATTTCAGAAGTTTCAATAGTGAAATAAGAGCTCATACTTAGTCATATCAATCATCCCTCTCACAGCAAGACCTATAGCTTGGAGCTATCATTTCTTTCTACATTAACAGAGATTTACATGCTTCAGCCTGCCATATTGAGTAAATGTATGATAATACTCTTAAAGTTTTATATCATGGTTGGTAAAGTGGGTTAGAAAAAATGGGAAGACCTTTAACGAGATGGATTGACACAGTGGCTGCAATGATGGGCTTAAGCATGGCAAGAATTGTGAGGATGGCCACCAGGACTGTAGGACGAGGCAGTGTTTCGTTCTGTTGTACATGGGGTCATTAGGAGTTGGAATTGACTCAACAGTACTTAACAACAACAACAACAACAAAGTCTTACTGGTTAAGTGTTTTTATTTAAACCAAAAAGCCTATCCATGACCTCTGTATTATCTTCTGGGTTCTATCTACAACCAATATGGTGGTCTTTGCTTCCCAGTCTACCAAATGTCTTTGTCTGTCTATAATCATTGCCTCTTAAAGCTAATCAATGTTCTGGCAACATTTGTGCCACTTTTTTGAAGACATGAGGAAATCAGGTGGTTTTTTTTCCTATGGCATTGTTTTGGAACCACAAGTCTTTTTAACTCAGCAAATATCAATAATCTACTCAACTTTAAACACTGCCAGGAGGTAGGGATGCAATTATTAATAGATTACCTTTTATAATTTTTAAAAACTCAAATTTTAGCCAGTAAAGTGAGGGGGGAATGAGTGAGAGAGAAAGAGTAAACACACAAAAGTAGGAATCTACAGGTGATTCTTACATAAGAATCTGGTAAGAATCTGATAATCTGGTAAGAATCTGATTAGTATCTCTTGGGGGGAAATGCAAATTCTCAGCAGGGGGTCAAACTGGAAAGAACTTGAGGTCCTTGTGGAAACACTTTGGGTGGAAACAAGTTGAGTTTGATACTGGGTATATCAAATACAATGTCAGGGAAGCCATGGGAGGAGATGCTGTCAAATGGTACAGATAAACAGAAGGATAAGGAGCAAGAAAGGCCATTATATTTGGTGATTTGGTGTCCCGAGATATAAAAATACCAAACTCACTGCCTTCAAGTTGGATCCCACTTATAGCAACCCCTCCTTGGGTTTCTGAGGCAGTTATCACTACAGAAGTAGATCACCCAATCTTCCTTCTGAGGAGTGGCTGGTGGGTTTGAACTGACAGACTTCTGGTTAGCAATCAAATGCCTTAGGCACTATGCCACCAGAGCTCCTAGAGATATAGCAGTTTCAATTATATGCATAAAGGCAGAAACTAGAGAGCAAGAAGTTGAGGTGAAAATAGAAGTACCATTTGACCCAACAATTCCATTACTAGGAATATCTCCTAAAGAGGTGAGAGTGCACACCTATGTTCATCACAGAACAATTCACCATAGCAAAGAGATGGAAACATCAACAGATGAGTGGATAACCAAATTATGGTATATCCATACAATGGAATACTATACCACATTAAAGAACAGTGAGGGATACGTGAATCATCTTGCAACGTGGATGAACCTGGAGGACGTTATGCTGAGTGAAATAAGTCAATTGTAGAAGGGCAAGTACTGTATGAGCCCATTACTGTGAAAAGACAGAGAAGAGTTTTCTTGGAAAAGGTAACTCACCTAGTAGGTTCCTGGGATGGGGAGGGGAAGGGAGGGATTAATTTCGGGCTAGTTGGGGCCCAAACGCTGATGCAGGTAGAAGGAGGGATATACAGGAAGGATATATGACCACCATAATAACATTAGAAAATGGGAGGACACTGAATTGTGCACATAAGAGATAGACAACAGATGCTAATACCAACCAATGTGTCCACAATACCACATTGCCATTAACACCAAACACTAGGCTATACAGATATAAACACCTGAGATGAACAGACGGGGGTCAGTGAACAGAAGTATACTCTAGACCAAGGATAGATTCAGCTGAGACTAATCTTGCACAGACACAAGTGATACAAAATACCTGCAATCCTTACAGAAACAATAGTAGACAGACACAGAGTAATCCCTCACAGACAACCAGACACTATAGAAGAGAGATCCAATAGATCTACCGTCTCAGGACCATAGTACTGGGGGACACCAGACTCAACTGGCACAACAAAATACATAGAAGGGTTGCTCCACATCCTACATTGGTGAGTAGCGACCGGGGGGTCTTAAAAGCTTTCAAGCGGCCATCTAAGATGCAGTTAATGGTCTCCTGGCATCGGAAGTAAAGAAGAACATACACACAAAAAAACAAGGGCATTTAGAAGCAATCAGCCCTAGGTCATGATGGCTCTCAAGACCAGAAGAAGTAGATGGTGCCCGGCTACCAATGCCAACCACTCAGGAAAGTATCAAATCTGGAGATCCTGGATAGAGTGGGAGGGAAAACATGGAACAAAATCCAAAAACTCAATAATGACCAGAATTACTGGTCAGATGAAATCTGGTGAGACTCCCAATACTATGGCCCTGGAATACATTCTGTGCCTGGAATAAAACTCACCCTCAGGGGCGGGCTCTCAGCCCAACAGTTAACAAGATGTACATGCAGACCACTCAACACAGGATGATGCACCCACATACTCTACGTAATACATCCCTTAAAGCAATAGACCATGGGACACAGAGGACCAACATTAAAATTGAGGAAATTCAGGACAAACAGGAGTGCATAAATATGAGGGGCACAGAGGGAGGATTACAGGGTAGGGAGGGGAGGAGACTGGGTTAGGGTTGGACATGGCAAATGGAGGATGAAACTAAATGTACGCGTTACGTTGAATGTAAAACAAGCTCTTTAAAAAGTTGAGGTGAGGCATTGTATACAGAAATCTAATTTTGAAAAGTAGGCAGGATAAGGAAGGAGATGGGGTGGTGGTTATATGCAGTGATTGGTCAAAAGACTATAGTTGTAGAACAGGATAAGGAGCTGGATGACAGAAGAGTTCAGAGATAGGAAGGATCCCAGGTTAAAATCATGAAAGAAGCTAGAGAAACTAGAATCAAGGGTATAGGTAGAGGAAGCTTTACGGTGAAGGAGAGAGTTGGGGAAGCTATAGAGACTTATTGAGGTCAAAGGAAATCGTGGAAGCAAATGTCTCCATCTCAGTAAGACGGCAAGACTGTGAGGCAAGGGTGTGCTTTGGGCCTTCAAGAAACAAGTGTTTCAACACACCTGTTATGTAGAAAGTAATAAAAAGTCAGAAATGAATAATGAGTAGCAATGAGGGTCCAACAGAGAACACCTGTTAAGAATAAAGCAAAAATAAACCAAAAACCTTGTTTTCCTTGCATTATCATCATTTGTTGTTACATGATTCATCTAAGTTTTTTGGTTTCATATTGCTTTCCTGTTAATTAACATCCAAAGTGCCTTCAAATTCAGCACTGTGCACTTTCAGTATAATTCATTATCTTTTCTATATAATTTTTTCTTTTAACTCGTCATTTTTCTGCCAATGTTAAATACTCAACAAGGAGCTATGACTTTTTATTATAGAAAGTATGCTTCAGTCTTCCACTTTCTGAGAAGGATATCGACATTTTATGAATGAGTTTGCCACTTCTCCTTGGAATGAGCAGCTGAACCATAAGAGTTTCAGAACATCATGTAATGCTGGTCTATGAATTTAACATCCTGACGTTAACATTTTTTGTGTTACTTTTAAACATCCCTATGTTCATTGATTGGGAGCGTTGGTAGCATAGTGCCTAAGGCACTTGACTGCTAACCAGAAGGCTGGTGGTTCAAACCCACCAGCCACTCCTTGGAAAGAAGGTTGGGCAATTTACTTCCATAGTGATACTGCCTCAGAAACCCAAGGAGGGGTCGCTATGAGTTGGGTCCAGTTTGATGGCACATAACAACAACAACATGTTCATTGATTAAAAAGCTTCATTTATCCAACTAATCTTCACGTATTTCATCTTACGGTGCCACTATTAGTTTAGATCTGTGAGATCAAAACGCATGGGCATAAGAGAAAAAATGGTTATGCTAAATATTGGGAATAGTGATAACACTTGAAAGCAACAGTGCTTGCACCACTGCTATAGAATCACTTTGGTAGATGGGACTTCAGCTGCTCATTCACAGGCCCCCAGTCAGTTCCTGTGCACACTTGGGTTCATCTAGAGTAAAGTCATGAATTCATGACCAAATTCATCTCAAAACTGAAATTTCAACACAAGAAAAGCCAGACAACTCTACTTTTTTAAGGATTAAAACATTGTGGGACAAGGATATTCTGAAATGGACTAGATTTTCAAACTTATAATTGTAGAGAAGACCACATTAGAACAGTCCACTATGTTGTACTGATGAAACACTAAATTGAATCTTCTAGAATTTTAAATGGCACTTCAGTGATATTGCCATTGCTTTGACTCACTTTATCTAAAACTAAAACTTTTAGGTTGTAAGTAGATAATTTCATATACAGACAAGGTAAAACACAGGCACGCACACTCACACCATTAAATGTCTGCAGTAGAACTTGTAAATTTTGTTGATGGAAAGGTATCTGCTATTAAATAATTTTTGAAGCTTCATAGTAAGTAGCCATATTAACTTAGATTGTTCTAGAATGAGCACTGTGTACATCCAAGACTTAACTCGAACATGATCCAGTTAACCTGTGCTGTTAAGAAAGTGTCCCACATCAAGCTCAATTGGCATAACATACTATACAAAACATTGTTCCACCTCCTGCTTTCGTGAGTAGCGACTGGGATCTTAAAAGCTAGCAAGCTGCCATCTAGATGTAACGATGGGTCTCTCCTCGTCAAGAGCAAAGAAGAAAGCAGAAAACCAAAATTAATGGAAACAATCATTCCCCACGACTGGTACACCATCCGACCTGCAAGCTATACAGCTACGAGACCAGAAGAACTAGTTGGTGCCCGGCTACCAATGTCATCCACTTGGAAGGGATGTAGGAGATCCTGGATAGAGAGGGAGAACAATGTGGAACAAAACTCAAAATCATTTGGAGGCAAAAAAAAAAAGGGGGGGGGGATGGTTGGGACCAGGTTTGCTGGTCCAATAGAGCCTGGTGGAACCACTGAGACTATGACCCCTAGCTACCCTTCAGGTCTGGAATTGAACCCACACCTGTGGTTTCCAGCCAAACAAAGTACAGGCATGTGAGTTGAACATTTACCTCAAGTAGACACATGCCCTCGAGAGAACAATCATGGGAGAAGGAAGGGCAGCTTATGCACAGGGAGACAGCTCAGGGGGCAGGAGAGTATTGAGGGATGGACATTGGGAAGTGGTACCATGGGGAGGAAGTTGGAGGGGAGCTGTTGCATTGTGGTAAACTGTGGTCAATGACATGAGACAAAGTATATGTGAACTGCTGTATCGAGAGTGAATTTACTCTGTAAATCTTCACCCAAATCACAATTAAAAAAAAAAAAAAAGAAAGTGTCACAAATCTAGTGATCCTGTGGCAAATATTCCAAGAAAACATGCTAAATATTTTCTAAAATGTGTGTTTTAAGGAGAATGGACCAACCCTATACCCTTAACTGGGAGCTCTGGTGGTGCAATGCCTAAGGCATTTGACTGTTAGCCAGAAGGCTGGTGGTTCTAAACCCATCAGCCTCTCCTCGGAAGGAAGATTGGGCAATCTACTTCCGTAGTGATGCCACCTTGGAAACTCAAGGAGGGGTCACTATGAGTCGGATCCGATTCGAGGGCAGTGAGTTTGAGTGAGTTTATATCTTTAACTAATGCTAAGAGAGGGAAAAGAAATTCCTGAATGGCTATAGTTTTTCAAGTATTAGTCATTAATTAGCTCATTTACTTCAGGAAGTATTAAATATAAGCATATTCTACAACAACCTAAGAATTTGAATTGTTTTCCCTAAGTCTTTGGAACAGCATTTGATCTGAGTTGTCAGAAAGGTATTATGAGAGCCATCCAAGGCTCTGGATTTTAGAAATGTAAGCATCAGTATTCTATTTCCAGATTTTTAAGAACACTGAGTCACAGTGCCAATACATCGATGGGGAACAGGGAATCTCAGGAATGGGGGCTCCACGTCCCCCATGATTGACAGTGGATTCACAGCCTCTGAGGAAATAGGTGCCCTGGGAGAGAATGTGGGGTGATGAGTGCTGTGCTGGGCAGATGTCTAGCTTAATATCCATGTGCAAGTCCAGAGATGATTTTTGTGGTTTTGGAAATTGGATTTGCCAGTAAATGCAGAGACTCAGGGCTGCCCACACAGTCTGCTGGTGCCAGTGCAAATGGGCTCTGCTTCACTGCAGCTGAGTCACTTCAGAGGGCAGGCTCGTTCCTTAGTAGGAACGAGACCATTGCCCATTAGTGAATGACCTAAAATGAGGTAAACACTACTCCACAGTGATATTCAAGAAAGGGCCAAGACAATTGGCTCACCCAGCCTGGTGATGGCTGTGATGGTCAACGAAGAGGCTCTGGCAGCCATCTTATCATCTAAAGTTTCCAAAGTGGCCACCAAAACCTTCTAGAAATGTCACCTCAGGTTCTGGACTCCTGAACACTGCACCCCTCCAAGCACGTCCTATTGCAAAAGAACTTAACCTCTTCCTTAGAGGTTCAGCTCTTCCTGCCCTTTCATTCTGGGATGAGAAGTGGGAAGACTGAAGCGGCACAGATAGCTTTTGATGGAGGTGCTAAATTGTACTGGAGGTGAAGAACAGGAAAATGATACTTTGAGCCTTGTTTAAATAATGAAGTGGAACTGAATCATGTTCTACCACATTCTGTAGGTGAGTTAAAGTGATACTTTGGGAATTAAAAAGTTAAATGATTTTTTTTTTTTTAAGATTTGGTAATTACATAAATTCCTCAATATAGAAATTCCAGATACAGGTTCATACCAGGCATGCTGATGACATCCAAGGGGGTTTTAAGTTGCTTCATTTGCTTGTAAAGCAGGTAATCCTCCTCTTGTCTTTGTTTCTTCTCAATAAGCCGTGAGCAAGTTACATTAACAGCCGGTCTGGGTTTCTGATTCCTGAAAAGCACTCGAGCAGAACATTTCCCCAAACGTTCCTCACCTTCCTGAAATAAAGATTTTGGAATGAAACAAGGATGGTTCCTCATCATGCCCCATCCAGCCCCAACACACAATGAAGAGTTCACTGTACATGGCAGGTTTGTTCTAGCATTGATAGAGTTACTGGCCTTTGCTTTGTAGAAAGAAGTTTATGCTCACAGCTGAATACAATAGTCCCTTTACTCTGCTGTCATTTAAACTCCTGCCTTAAGATGGCACCCTTATAAGATACTAAAAAAAAAACTAAACTCACTGCTGTCAGTCGATTCCAACTCATAGTGACTCCTCCTTGGGTTTCTGAGGCGGTATCACTACGGAAGTAGATTGCCCCATCTTCCTTCTGAGGAGTGGCTGGTGGGTTTGAACCGCCAGCCTTCTGGTTAGCAGTTAAGTGCCTTAGGCACTATGCCACCAGAGCTCCCATTATCAGATAAGACCAGGCCTTTTCCAAAGAAATTCCACTGTGTTGAACACTGCTTGGCTCAAACTCTGCCACTGTCACTTTGCACAAACATAATGTTTGGTGGGCCTCAAGCTTGCTAACTTGAATCAAAAGAAGCAGGGACAATAATAACAACATCTTCATGCTATTTATGAGCTGCTGTTGTTAGGTGCCATCAAGTCAGTTCCGACTCATAGTGACCCTGTATACAACAAAACAAAACAGTGCCCAGTATTGCACCATCCTCACCATCTTTACTATGTTTGAGCTCACTGTGTCAATCCATCTCACTGAAGGTCTTTTTCAACATCTGCTTTACTAAGTATGATGTTTTCTCCAGGGACTGGTCCCTCCTGATAACATATTTAAAGTATGTGAAACGAAGTGTCACCATGCTCACTTCTGAGAAGCATTCTGGCTGCACTTTTTCCAAGATGGATGTGTTCATTCTTCTGGCAGCCCATGGTATATTCAGTATTCTTTGCCACAACCACAATTCAAATGCATCAACTGTTCTTTGGTGTTCTTTATTCATTGTCCAGCTTTCACATGCATATGAGGTGATTGAAAATACCATGGCCTGGGTCAGGTGCACCTTAAACCTCAAAGTGAAATGTTTGCTTTTGTAGAGATCTTTTGCAGCACATTTGCCCAATGCAGTAAGTCATTTGATTTCTTGATTGCTCCTTTCATAGACATTGATTGTGGATCCAAGTAAAAGGAAATCCTCAACAACTTTAATCTTTTCTCCATTTATCATGATGCTGCTTAGCGGTCCAGTTATGAAGATTATTGTTTCCTTTATGTTGAGGTGTAATCTATGCGGAAGACTATAGTCTTTGATCTTCATCAGTAAGTGCTTCAAGTCATCTTCACTTTCAGCAAGCAACGTGTCATTTGCATATCTCATGTTGTTAATGAATCTTCGTCCAACCTGATGCCACATTCTTCTTCATGTAGTCCAGCTTCTTGGATTATTTGTTCAGCATACAGATTGAACAAGTATTGTAAAAGGATTCAACCCTGATGCACACCTTTCCTCATTTTAAACCATGAAGTATCCCCTTGTTCTGTTTGAACAACTGCTTCTTGGTCTGTGCACAGTTCCTCATGAGCACAATTAAGTGTTCTGAATTCCCATTCTTCCCAATGTTATCCATAATGTGTTATGATTCACAAAATCAATTGCCTTTGCATAGTCAAAAAACACAAGTAGACATCTTCCTGGTATTCTTTGCTTTCAGCCAAGATCCATCTGACATCAACAACAATATCCCTTGTTCCATGTCCTCTTCTGAATCCAGTTTGAATTTCTGGTAATTCCCTGTCAATATAGTGCTGCAACCATTTTTAAATTATCTTCAGCAAAATTTTACCTGTATGTGACATTAATGATATTGTTCAATAACTTCCATATTCTTTTGGATCGGTACCTTTCTTTGCAATGGGCACAAATATGGATCTCTTCCAGTCAGTTGGCCAGGTCTTCCAAATTTCTTGGCTTAGATGAGTGAACACTTCCAGTGTTACATGAGTTTGTTGAAATATCTCAGTTGTTATTCTGTCAATTCCTGGAGACTTGTTTTTCACCAATGCTTTCAGTGTAGCTTGGACCTCTTCCTTCAGTAGCATTGGTTCTTCTTCTTCTTTTTAAATACATTTAATGAAATATAATTTATGTACAGTGAAATACACAAAACTAAAGTGACATAGGTCAATGCATTTTTTTTCTTTTTTTTTTTTTTGCAGTGTTCCCTCCCCTTCCCTCCCACCCCTGGCAACCAACAAAGAAAGTTTCCCTCCATATATAAACTATTACTTGACCCTCCACAATAATGAACTAATACTATATTTGTCCTTCTGTGATTGACTTATTTCACTCAACATAATGTCCTCCAAGTTCATCCATATTATATGGTGTTTTGCAGACTCTACATTATTCTTTAGTGCTGTATAGCATTCCATTATGTGTGTGTACCATAGTTTAGTCATCTACTCTTCCGCTATAAATCTTAGAGATAAGTCCCTTGTAACTATCAGCAAATATGAATTTGTTGCTGTCATTTTTGTTATGTGCTTTTTCATGATGTTGATTTCTTTGTTCCATACAATTTTCTATGCTGAGCTTGTTTTGTTTATGAATCATGTTATCACTTCCTTCATTGCTATTGTGTTAGTATTTGCTGAATACTTATGCTGGTCCTCTTTTTTATTTTGATGTGAAGATTTATCATTTTTCTTTGAGGTTACCCTGGATTTATAGTTTTTTTCCCAACTTTAGAACAGTCCATTCTATCTTGTAGTAAGTAGTCTTGACTTCGCTACCATCTAGAAGTTCTGCAATGACAGTTTTTTCCCTCTTTTTGATTTGTAGTTGTCCTCATTTGTCAATTGATGTCTCTTGTTCTCTGTTTACAATCTTGTAGGCTTATTTACTTTGAGTACTTCCACAGCTGGGTTGGTTTCTGGGTTATATCATCATATGTGTTAATGGTCAGTTGTTGGCTATTGTTGCTTCTCTGTCCAAAGGGCACCCTTTAGCATCTCTTGTAAGGTTGGTCTGGTTTTAACAAATTCCCTTAATTTCTGCTTATCTGGAAATGTCCTAATTTCACCATCATATTTGAGGGACA